ATTTTGAATTCCCAATCATGTTGCTCTGCTATGTGATTCTGGCAGATGCTGACCTGACGCTAAGGATGACAGCCCCTTGATGCATTACAGTCAGGGTGTGAGGCTCCGGCCGTCCCACTTCTAAGTTATCGCTGTCCCAAGCCGTCAGCTCTCATTTTCTCAAAGCCTTTCCGACGTTGCTGAAACTGCCAGAATTCCAGGAAAGTACCAGATGTTACTTCCTGTTCACATAGCAAAACTTGAACTATGTCCCTTCCGCGTGTAAGAGCTGGCTATCTGCCGGATCTCTTTGTTTGTAATATTGTTAATCTTAACTTAATACAAAATTTAATTTTCACACAACACTCCTCCAGTCAGAATGGACGGTTACACCAGAAGTAAGTGGACTCCACACTAGGGAATGTCTGCACGCATCTTCTATTTCACATTCAATGCTCAGTGCTAATTTCATAGCTCAGTAATGTGAATCTGGCATGAACACACCAAAAGCTTAAAATGGATTAAAACTGAGCATGTTTGTGTGCTCTTGTTGTTGATTTCAGGAGGATGATCCCTTTCTTAGTTTGGTAACATAAAAGAAAAGAAAGAAAACTCGTCTTCATTTTTGCAAATATGGTACCAGTTCTTTTTGACATGTCTCTTATATGCAAAGCATGGGCAGAATATTTTGAAAGTTTGAGACTGAAAAATTAATATTTGTGTCAAGATTGAGAATTTTTTCTCAGTTTTATCTTGAAAATATGCATAGTATAGTATATACAAACTATACACATGTATAGTTTGTACCATCTTTTGTTAAATTAATAATAGTAAACAAGAATTTGAAAGTTTGTCAAACATGGAGACATGTTAACAGTTACTCAGCTGAGTCACTGTGATCAGTGTATGGTGCTAAAGAATAGCGGCCTCCGTAGTCTATGGATAACGTTCTCACCTCATGACTCAAGGTACGCGGGTTCAAACCCGGCGGAGGTCGTGGAATTTTTAAGGGCGGAAACATTCAGGGAACAAGTCCTCCAGGAGGGGCTTTAAGCCGTGGGTCCCGTGTCGTAGATTTACGGCACGTAAAAGAACATCATGTCTCTAGGAGACCTCTGAGCAAAATTAGGCAACATTTCCCGCCCAAGTAGTTTCCAATTCCTCCGGTAGATCGGGGAAGTATTAGGTACCACTGCCAGAGGAGGGGGGACCTCTCCAACAGAAAGGGACTAACTATTAGATACCACTGCCAGAGGAGGTTGGAACCTCGCTGGCAGAAAGGGGCTGATAGTAAGCACCAGTACCGGTAGGGTATGGAGACAGTAGAAATTAAAGGGGGACGCACAATGGACCACTAACCGGTCTCAGTGCATGGGGAAACACACCCCCTCAATATGGAATTTGGAATGGTGCTAAAGAAAGAGATAAGTCTTTCATCATAGAAAAGTTTGATCTTCATTTTGTTCAAGAGCAATCTTTTTGATATTCCTCTAGTCAGAATGACATAAATAGGTTCTTTTATGATCATGGCAGGAGTATGTGACATCACTAATGCAGTGAATATTGCTGTATTAATGTAAGGTCAGTTGACTATAATATTTTGATGTAGGAGCATGGTGTATTTAATTATAAATGCTGAATTGTAATTTTATTCTGCATGTATTTTTGTTCTTTAATTTTCTTCTTCCATCAGAAGTTGTTTTTCTGAATTAAAGTGAATGTGATTCACTATTTTGTACATTGCCATGCCTTTTCCATTGAAGCAGAAATCTCTCAGTCTCATTTTGTCATTTCAGCTATGCTGTCATTTATTAGTTTGATGAGATTAATGATATGCAGAACTTGCAGGAACGTCTTGGCAAAGAGAAAGAGAGTGTGCTTCTGGTTCATGGAGGAGCAGAAGCAAGTAATAGTTCTAGTGGCAGCTCAAGTGCTGGCCCTACTCCCATGTCTGGCAGCATCCCCACCATGGCAGCATCTGCCCAGCGACGGCCACAGACCAACAGCTATGAACCTGATGTGAATGGTGAATGGCTCCAACAACTCATGGATATGGGCTTCAGTAGAGAGCACTGTGTGGAGGCCCTGCTCCATACACCTAATGTTGAACAAGCAACTGACTATCTGCTGAGCAATCCATCACCATTTGCTTGTACAACACAGGTAGCTGTGAAATCGTTATTTTAGTAATGCAGTCGTACAGAATGTCCTTTTCCATTCATTGCTAAAGGTATAAAGCTATTGTAATCTAATATGACTTGACTGTTTTCATTGTACTGGCTAATTTGGTGTTTGTTAGAAGGAAATAAATAGACTCTCAAAACTACAGATGGAATTTTATCCACGTGAAGAGTCAACATAGTAATTTCACTTTTACTGACACTATTATTTTCACAGTATAGATGAACTCACTGTGTGTGCTGTGTTGAAGAAGGAAACACAAGCTGACAGATTTTACATGGATAATTAACAATGACAACAGAGAGGTTTTCTTAAAAACAATTAGAATAAAATTACATTCTTGCATAGTAAGCATTTGTAATATACAGGATCTGTCACTTTTTTTTTGTATGTTACGAAATTCATGTGGAATTACTTAATCCTGACTATGTAATACTCGTGGTATATGCATTTCTCCAGTTTTGTTATGACTGGATTTCCATTGTATTATATGCCCTTTGCTATTTCTTGTCACTGTTCAGATGTGGAAGTTAAAGAATTGAACTTTCATATGAATGTATGGTAGTTGCTGTATTTGTTTGATTGTCCTTGCAGTAATAAGCTGATGTTCCGTACTGCATGATAATTTATTTATTACTTCTTTACATTTTTACATCACAGCTCACTGTTTTAGAAGCGAAATCATTACATAATAATTATGATTGTGCTATGCAATATTATATACTATTTTATAACTGATGTTGAAAGTGCGGATGAAATTGTTTTTGATGGCACATTTCTTCCTCTACTTTTCAAGAGCGAACAGAAAATATGTTACGAAGTAAAAATAAGAATTTTATGTAATTAGTTGTAAAGGTGTTATATGTCTTTGAGCAATGAATTGGTAAAGTTGTTCTTGAGTCTCAGATATCTCGGGTTCTGTATAAAAAGCATTTTCCTATATGTACATTTGATATTGTAATTATTTAGGTATTGTGTAATGACTTCTCATAAAATTGAGTGAACAAATTTGGCAAGGAGAAGACATGAACATATCTTGTGTAATAATAGCACAACATGTGTATATCATTTATTTTCAGACTGTGTCCATGGACCTTGACCTGACAGAAGAAGATCAAATGCTGCGGGCAATAGCCATGTCTCTGGGAGAAAAAATAATGGCTGATTGTGACCGCAAGGATGCCACCAAACACAAGCAAACAAATGAGGTGTGTTCTCCAGGCTTGGTTTAACAGTGTTTATTTAATTCTGTATCATACTTATTTGGGATAGAATTCTGATGGTGTTTGTAACTTTGCCTCAGGAAGTAGAAACACAGGTTCTCAGCAAAGAAGCCATTGACAAATTCACAACTACAGCTTTATTGGCGTGCCTGAACCTTGTTGATACCCTGCCAGACACAGTGTATCGAGTGTGTGACCTCCTCATCACTATCACAAAACGCAATGGTGAGGTGTGGCGTGATGAAATGTTGGACACTCTAGTAGCAGATGTAAGTTGCTTTTTAATTAAAATAGGGTATTTATTGTTGACTTTAATTGTGTGTTAGCATATTAAAGCATTCAGTATATCACTTTCTCCTAAAGACTTTCGCTGCATATTTGGTAATGATAGTTTCCATGCTTTAATTAAATACAGTTTGAGGGTGTATTTGTTTAGGACAGTAAAAAGACAAGATGAAAGAGATTTAGAACCATGGTATTGGAAATATAACTGAAGAAATCAGGAAGTGGGGCTTAAATCTTTTTCTTTTTACCTTCTCCCACTTAACTCTTTTCTTCTTAATGTATTTTCTCATAACACATTTAAACCCTACATGAATAGAACAAACCTTGAAATACTGATATTTCAGTGAGATGTTTTGGTACATATTACCTGAATAGGGATGTTGTCTTTTGAGAGCTGCCTATGCAGAAAGAAATGATGAACTCTTTGACACATTTATCATTTCTGAACAACAATTATCAGGACACTAGCAGTTTTTTTATGGGTTATTTTACTGTATTTTCAGTAGCTAGACTGTATAGCATGAAGTGGTAGGATGGCTATGAATGATGAATAGGAAAGGATTTGGAAAGAAGCAGCCATGGCCTAATCAAAGTACTGTTGTGGCATTGTCTGGAGGGGCTGATGAAACCATGAAATCTTCAGTCAGGATAACCTGTGTCTCAGCTGAGGTTTGAGCTGATCACCTCCTGAGTGCCAGTTGAATAGTACCACTAGACGAACCTTTTTGATTCATTCATTTATTTCACTTTCTAATTGATCCTGATACAGGCATAATACAAGCCATAGGATATAGAATGAGTCACAAGATCAAAATTTAAGTTACAATAATTAATTGAAACATGTCAAAAACAAAAAACAAAACAAACATACATGCAAACAATTATAAAGCATAAAGTGGACATACATAAACAAATTTACATCGGATACAATAAATATCAAAATTCTAATTCTGGTTCACTTCATTAATAAAATTGACAAAAGTGTCTTGAATTGTTGTTGGCTTAAAAGTGCTTTGGTTATGTAATGAAGTAAAGATGGAATGGTCAGTTCATTCATTGAACAATATTGCAAGCATAATTGTTGGAATTGTTATTATACCTGTGTGAATCTAAGACTTTTCATCAGATTGAATAACCCCACAGGCTGGAATTGAAAATAGAAATTCTGTGGATAAATAATTTATGATTGAGATAATGTTACTGATGATATTGCTGAATTGTGGGTAATTATATTCATATTTGATATAATCACTTCAAAGAAGAAAAAGACTATTGTCCTACCCACATTATTATTTAATCCTTGGTGCTGTATCATATAATATGTAATCAGATGTTGAGAAATGGACTTGTAGTTATGTATTTCAACCATTTTTATATATTGTGAATATCCATGACACCAAACATTTTTAGGGCACTAACTTCGCTGACAAGTGGTGGTCACTTGGTATAGTTCGCTTGTGGACTAAAACCATGGAGATTGTTTGTTTGTATCAATCCTTATAGTATGAGAGTTCCACTATACCATCTTTTCTGCTTCCTTCAATAATTCCATGTCATCGGAGGGAATGTCCTTCAGTGCCTAAGCTTAGCGATGTATTGTAACGTGCTTTGCCACTGAAGACATTGTTCGGATTGTTAATTGGTTTATTTAACAACCTACAAGTCTTGGCTACAATTAATTATAAAACTGTTATGGGTTTCCACAATTTACAAGCTCTACACAATATTCTATTCACTTTATCTTCAGTAGTCTACACATATTCACAGTACGATACGGGAGCTATACAAGTGTCACTCTATCACACACTCCCAATTACTTCTCTTGTGAGCCAAGCATCTGCTTCTCACACTATCACTTCTAATCATACATTCCGGTATTCTTTCTGCTACAACTCAACTCGGTGACTGTTCCAATTCAACTGTCTCTGGTGACGGCTACATTTCAACTGTCTTTGGCGGCTGCTGTATTTTAACTGTATCACTCCTGATCTCACAACTCACTACTGACTGACCCCCTGGCTAACTTGTAACTAACTGTTGAATAGTGTTCGCTGCTCCTTATTTAGCCCCATTACGGACAACACAGAAAACAGTTACGTAATAGGCACCGCTGTTGCATAACGTCGTGTTTACGACTGCCTAGGAACAGTTGTTGCACGGACTCCCCGCCGTGTTTACAAAGGCGTTGCTGTGCAGCACTGCTGGGAGTTGTTTACGGCTATGTAGCAACTTCGGCATACCGTATTACGTCACCGTGGAGAAGGGGGTGTCTACCGAGCATTGCACACTGATGGACGGAGTGAGGGTATGCGACGTCACTCGCGAGATCACAGAGTTCACACGACCCCCACCTCCCGCTACGCTATCCACGTCACAGTATGATTCCCTGCAGAGAGATTATTGAAGAGTAATACATTTTTATATGTAATGCCATGTGGTCCAGTTGAAGACCATCAACATTTTAAAAGAATGTACTGCTTCCTCCTTCAGGATTTAAGAGTAACCTGATCAGGTAACCAGCAAGAAACAGGCAGTAAGTGTAGTGAGCTGTGTCTAGGAAACTTAGTTCAGGTATGGGTCTGTAAAGGACTCCAGAGAGAACCAACAGGAACAGAGGAAAGAGTAATGAGTGTTGGCATGGAAAAGGTTTGTGGTTGCAAAGGGAAGAGATTGGAAAAGTTAGGAATAAAGAATCAAAAGTGGGCTCTGGCAAGCAGTGAGGGATAGAATGAGGAAGTTGAAGAGCTGGTGAAAGGAAGAGGCTGCTGCTGAAGGAGCAGGAGGGAAAGCTGAGGCACATGGGTCTTCTGAAAAGAGCGTTGTGTAAGGGCCTGACAGCTAGCTGAAAACCCCATTATGGGAAATCATATGAAGGAGGCTTTCTGCGTTCTTTCAGGAAGTGGATGAACTGTTTCTGTATTCTGCTTTAGGCAGGATCATCCTTGCTGTTCATATTATTGGGATGGAAATCCATCTCTTGTCACCTTCTGGATGCAGTTCATATGTCTGGATTTGTTAGAATATTGGTGTTTTGCAGATGGATGCACTGTCTCAAGTTGTTGATGTGTCTGCTGCAACAGACATGTCTTGAAAATTAGGACTAATATGATGACCATACTCATTTGCCCAGTTGTCAGTCAGATAACCTCTCTTCATAATTTAGATCTTACCACACTCATATACTCTTGGTTCCCTCATTCCTAGGGCATCCTTCTTCAGATGAAGAAAGGTGGAGTTTTCCCTGCTGTAGGACTGAAACAGTGTGGTTAGTCATGGCAACATTCTTGTACTGCAGTTAAAGGTTGACTCAGCATAGGGCAAGAAGATGGCTGAGTCAGGTTCTTCGCTGGGCAAAGCAACCCTGTAGTGAGGAGTGAGGAGTGAAAATGCTCTGAATCTGCCAGTCGCTATAGGCTTTGTCTGAAAGTAACTTCCAGCTGTATGTGAGGCTGTTCCTATCACCCATAGCTATGTGATTCTGTGACATGTTCACCAGGGTAAAAAGAAGGTAATGTTAGATTGGTAGTGGTAGGTGCCAAAGTTCAAGTAGAGGTGTGTTTGTGTGTTTATGGCATGCCTAATGACCATAAAAGTCATCCAATTTCATGTAAGTATCAATATCTAGGAAGGGAAGATCTCTGCTTTCCATCTTAACACTGAATGGGATTGTATGATGGCCACTGAAGTTGAAAGAGGAGGAAGTCGGGATGCAGTTTAAAAGGCAGAGTCTCCTGCTTGAAATGTTTGATTGGAAGGTTCAGGACCTTTATCTGCACTCTGGTGAGAAGTGAGACAGCTGTATAACTGACAGTGAAGTGTTGGGGTCTGGCCTGGAGACAGTCCAGCATGCAAACAAAGTCTACAGAGTTCTTAATGTGGCAGAGAGAGGTGCCCAAGTGATGCCTGAGCAGACCCACCAGGTGTTTAGGCATACAGTAGGTAGGAGTCCCAGTGGTGAATCTTTGATTGTCCATAAAGATTGGGAGCCTTAAAATGTTGTAGCTGAAGATGTAAATATACTTCCCCAGAAAATGAGGATTTCTTGAAAAGTATGGGTTTTCTTTCATAGACTCAGTGGGCTGTTTATTCAAATTCCTGTAGGCTTGGTCCTCCAGATGGGAAGCAGTCGTATGATTATAATAATGATTATAACATGTATATTTTATTTCAGATTGCTGACAAAGCCAAATATTTATTGGAGGTTATGGGGTCAGGGCAAAGCCCTAGCCAAATTGTGTCTGAATTGATGAATTCAAATGCTGCTGTGAAAATTACAGGACGCATTCATCTGTTTACTCTTCTGTTTGAGGTAAGGAAGGCAAACTTGGACTTGACTAATGTCTCATGCTGAATCTTTTGTTTCCAACATTTACATCTCATGAAGAAAGAAACCTTGAGCTGTATGACAGTTAATGTGTGACTAATTTATTGTAAAACCTCATGTGTACATTAATGTAATTCATAATTCTGCAAAACTTGTGTAACTTTTTTTGAGTCCCATTAGTTGTCCTTGTAGTCCAGTGAGTTCAGTATTACAAAGTTATATAAAATGGAATTTCTCACAATACTGATTTTTGTTTACATTGGCTTTTCTGATTCTAAATTCTTGAACTAATAAGTGTATTTGACTGTTCCACTAGATCAATTCACATCGTCCACTCTGAACTCAAATTTCCTTCATAAGTGTCCTTAGCATAAGTTCACATAATGTGATAGAAAATGACCTCAGCAGGCAAAAGGGTCTATTTTCTTTCTTTGTTGTTGGATTTTCTTAACTCAACAATCTTGCTTTACTGCAACATTTTGTTGTCTTATGTGTCATGTTTTTGCTGTAATAACCAGGCTTTTGCTTGGATTAATAATTGTTTAGTTTCTAAATATTGAATTTTGTTCTGGACCTGTTCTGTCTATCTCGAACCAGGGTCCTGTCTTTCAGGAGATGCGTGTACCTTGTGCTCAAGTCGTTCAGAGATCCAAGATTCTGCCGTCACTTGTCCAGCTCTTGGTACAAGGCCAGGAAGCACTAACAGCTTCTGGTGAGGTAGTAACACCCAAGTGGCTTGCACCCCTGTTGTTGCTGATTGACTTGCTTGAGAAAGTGGCAATGTGTACACAGAGGCGAGACAAGATGTACAAGGTGAGTGATATTGAGACCAGTTACACTGAAAGCATTTGTTAACCAGCAGGCCCCCCAGAAGAGAATCTATCTCTCTGTTAACCTTTTGAGGACTACAGATATATGAATATGTTTCAAGTAAGCTTTAGCACAGACTTATGAATATATCTGGGAGAAGTCATTCCGTAATGTGCATTTGTTCTTGCCTACTATACCTACACCCCTTCACATATACCTGATCTGACTAAGCCAATCGTGCCCTTTCATAAATATATTTTGAACTTTCTTCACTATAACTTGTTTGCCCAAGAAAAAATAAGTTGCCATAACTTTTGAAGTAACCCACGTATATGGTGAGAATTAATGCAGCTGTACTTCTCAGTTTTTTCTGCGTCAGGCATTTCTTTTTTGCATTGTGCCCTAACCTCACCAGACGTGCCTGCTCCTGATTTTTTGTCTGATGATATCTGAAGTAATGTGTATAGTAGTCAGCCAACAGACTATGATGAGCTAAAGGCATGTATCCAAGAAATCACCAGCATTTCACATCAGATGCTTTTGGGAAGTGATGGAGAGCTTCTTAACTCATGTGCACCTTTGCATTCAACAGGATGGTAGTCATCTGAAAGACATACTTTGCAAAATGTAAAAATATTTTAAAAAATGTTAAGACATTATAGGAAAGAAATGTGTAAAAAATAAGAATGCTTTGTGTAAAACGTTATTCCATTTTTAAAAGCACTTGATGTTCTGCAATGCCTTGTATTTATGAAAGATATTAAACAGGTTCTTTGCTGTTTTTTCCTATAACCCTACATTTCTGTTACCATTTAATTTATTTTATATAAAATACAACATCATTTACTTTGAAGAAAGTGAGGTTACTGTGTTTCATACTGAATTACATTAATTTCTTTTATTTTATAGGTAACAAATCGCATATGGAGGTGGTTTGATCTGTCATCTGGGAAGTGGACCACTTACTCATCTAATAACAACAAACTAATCAATGATGCATACTGGAATGGTGACAGCATGGTGCGTGTCACTTGTGATCGCAGGAGATACATGATTCAGTTAGGAGCCTTGAGCCAGGTATCTTTGATCATATTTTGTCAGAGTGATAGCAACAACAACTCTGGATCATTTAACTGTATGGGATGTTATTCCTATACAGTTAGACAACTCAATTTTAATTGTTGTCACTAATAATTTGCATTCACCATGGTATGTCAGCAAATTCGTTTGCACACATCTCACTGAAATTTGTAGAAGGCAAAAACATTTTTATGTATGTCATGAAAATTATTTTTTTTTGTACATTTTACACTTTGTTTTTAGGCTGCTTTTCAAGTGCAAAGCAACATACTAAATATATTCTTCATGTTTGTGAGTATACTATCATTGTATTTTTTTTGTCATAGTTGTTCATGCATGCTTTCTGAATCTTCATATTTGACTCTTCCACGTGAACTGATGAGGTAGGAGCAATGCAATCCAGTATTTGAAGGATCCCTTACATTTATATGAGCCTGCACATCTTAAATGCAACTTGTTTTAATGCCATTTTTATCATGAAATTGAACATAATAGACAGCTGTGCAACATTATTTGATACTGCTAACTTATACATAGTTATCTAAATTATCTGTGATAGGAAATAACATGCTGCTGTTCTTGCAGAATGTTTTTAATTTTAGTTACCTAAATAATCTAGAATTGGAAATACGAGGGTAAGTCAGAAATTATCCGCACTTTCTCCATAACACATCTTTAGGTCTGTCACACTGCCTCCTACGCTTGCATTGTTAGAGTTGGTACTACTGTGGTCACGTGATCGAAGTTTTACCTTGATTGCATCATTTTTCTTGATGCTGTGGCAGAGTAAACATGGCCGCTCTTCTAGCAGTGTGCACCAGTGATTAACAAAGAATAGTGATGCGATTTCTCTGATTGGAAGGTGTGTCAGGGGCTGAAATTGATATGTGGGTTCATCACTATGAGCCAGAATCCAAATGCTAGAGTATGGTGTGGAAACACCCGGGATCGCAAATGAAGATGAAATTCAAGACTCAATCTTTCGTGGGAAAGGTGATGCTAACCATTTTTTTGGACTCAAAAAGGCCTATACTGGAAGACTACCTGGAAAAAGGGTGTATGATCACCAGTGCAAGATACAGTGATTTGCTGGCCAACAATCTGAAGCCAGCAATTTGCACCAAACGCCGAGGCCTATTGTCGAAGAAAGTGTTGTTGTTGCATGACAATGAACACTCACACAAGGAGGGCTAGACCATTTAAACCATTAATCATTTGTGTTTCGAGGTGCTGGAACACCCTGTCTACAGCCCACATCTCGCCCTTTCTGACTATCATCTCTTTAGACCACTCAGAGATGTTTTACAAGGTTTTTGATTTTCTGCAGACAAAGAAGTGGGGGAAGTGGTGCATAAATGGTTGCGCGACCAACCGAAAACCTTCTTCGTGGAGGGAATACGCAAGCTTTTGGACCGCTGGACCAAGTGCATCAAAAAGGGAGGAAAATATATAGAAAAATGAAGTACTTGTTCAACCCATACTTTTCTATGTATGGATTGGAAAAACGAGTGTGGATAATTTTTTACTTCCCTACGTACATTGTGCTCTTCTTGCAGAATGTTTTTAATTTTAGTTACCTAAATAATCTAAAATCGGAAATAACATGGTTCTGTTTTTGCAGAATGTTTTTAATTTGGTAACTGATGAATCATCATAGCTGGGTAAGCAGAAGGGCTAGCTTCGAATTTTGTATGATACTTTATTAATGTGAAATTTGCCTGTTGGACATTTATGTGAACTTGTGAGGTTATGTTATGAGTGGAAAAGGAAGAATTAGGTATGGTATTAATGTATTCTGTCTTACAATCTTAATTGTAGGTGAATGAGGAGACAGCAAACCGTCGTCCTGTCACAATGTCTTTATTAGAACGAGAGAGAGCAGAAGGTAGGGATTTTGCCCCTAAGGAAAAGAATTATGAAAAAGAAAAGCTCGAGAAGATGGAAGTTGAAGACCCAAGTGTGACAGAAGAACGAGAGAAAAAGAGGAATGTTGTGGTGTATGGATTAGAAAGATCTGACATGTCAGTTATTGTTAGGTGAGTATTAAATTCACATCTTGTCAAATAATTACAGTGAAAATGCACTATATAAGAAGATAGATGTCTTTTATTATATTATTGCTGTTCTAGAGATTGCTTTTAGCTAGAAGATGACTCTTTATCTCCCCTAGATCCTGTGTGGGGTTGTTGGCCATTCCTGTTGACCGAGACACACTTCATGCAGTGATGAGGGTTTGTCTCCGGCTTACACGCAATTTTGAAAATGCCATGATCTTTGGTGGATTGGGTGGTGTACGCTTGCTTCTGAACTTGACTCAGGCCTCGTCATTCACGGGGTTCCTCAGTCTGTCCACCCTGCTGATACGTCACGTGATGGAGGAGCCGCACACCCTGCGTCATGCAATGGAGAAGGTTGGTTGAAGTTACTTTGCAAGGATCTATTATGATTATTTAATGTCTTACTGTATGTGGTATGAGACTTGTGGTGTATGATGTAAGACTCGCCCTAGTTGGTTACAAAAAATTGAGTGATTGATCTGTGAGTGCATATTTCATCAATAGTCACGAACTGTTGATCAGTAGAAAACAGTCTTTTCTTTTAAGTTAATTCAGTATTCTAAACACTTCAGTATTATCTGAATTGAGAAGTTACAAAGTTTTCTTATGAAATTAATATGAAAGTTACCATCGAAGTGCACCTGTATACAGATAAATAGTTATTTTTGGATTGTATCTTGCATATTCTCCCTATTCTATTGCGGATAGAAGTGACAAGAAGACGAGGAAGAAGACGTAAGAAGATGCTGGATGACCTTGGGGACAGAAGAGGATACTGTCATTTGAAGGAGAAAGCTCTAGATCGCATTAAGTGGAGGAATTGTTTTGAAAGAGACTGTGGACCTGTCGTCTTGACAGATTACTGATGATGATGATCTTGCATATTAATTACATATAGATAGTATATGAGGAAAATTAATTATCAAAGAAAAACATTCTTACATTTCCATAGCCCCTTTCACTCACAGTTTACTGCTTCCTAGGAACTGCCCAGAAGTCTCAGCCACTATTTGCTGCATGCCTTCAAGTTCTACTCATTCCATCTAAACTTGCACAACACTCACACACATTCCTCCCATAATTTGCTACACTTGCGAACATGTGTGAAATAAGTGCATTGACTTGTATCACGTTTTCTTGGTACAAGAACAAAGAAATGAATTGGAAAGCATGTGGAAGGAAATGTTCATGGTTTAATTTTTTGGTTTTATCCTAGCATTTGCCTGAAGGGACTGACAGTAACTGTAGGAGGCATCACTGAGGTTAGGCTACTCTGAGCCGAAATTTTAACCCAGGATTTCCCAGTCACTAAGCAGGAGGGCTACCCACTTGATCACAATATTCAATATGGCAGAAGGGGTTTAGCTAGTAATGACACTGATAATTAAAAGTAGCTATGTTTTTGGCACTGTTCCTGCTAAAATATTCTTGTGAAAAATACATGAAGTGAATTTTTTTTATTGCTAGTGGGGTGGGACTAAGTCCCTTGTACTGCGGCCACTTCTGGCCTATTGTACCAGCCTCAGATGATAGGTGAGGGTGATTGTGGAGCAATTAGTGGAATGAAGATTGGCAGGGGAAACCAAAGTACTCGGAGAAAACCTGCCCCAGCGCCATTTTGTCCACCACAAATCCCACTTGACTAGACCCGGGATCGAACCTGGGCCACCATGGTGGGAAGCCAGCGACTAACCGCTTGAGCTTTAGCACGGCCCTGAAAGGAAATTAATATATTTTATTACTAAAGTCACTGACTACAAAAAGTGTACAGATTCCTAAATGGACAGCATCCGAGTTGACACCACTTCTATGAGTGTACCTTCCACTCTTGTGTCACATTCCTCCATCTTAATTATAAGAATGGAAATAAACATTGTGGCTCATTTGGACATGGCTGTCTCATAGCAGACAAGATTTTAACTGAGTGCAAGTAGTATGGTGACAGAATGATTGTTTGGAAATGACAGCTGAAATCTTAGCATTTCAACCCAGCTGTCACCCTCATGTGGTCAATGTTTATAAGTCCAGTAGACTCTTTGTTTGGATTATTTGGTTTTGTGGATTAAGCATGGAAATTTATAGCCTCATAGTTATTGAATATGATTTCCACTAAGGAAATTGATAGTACAGGTTATATCGCTTGCTATAATGAAGTTCACATTATAGCCTATTCTGTTGTGGGAACACAATATTAATTTTGATATAGTATTCTGTATTTCGCATGCAAGTTCTGAACTCTGTGTATATGTCTATGTGTGGATTACTGAATCCATAGACATAAAGGCCTGTAATTATGTTTTAATACTGTAACTGGATCTTGCTGTAGTGTGAAAATAAGCAGCCCATTGGGATCAAGAGATGGACTTCATTGCTAATTTACTGTCATATAAACTGCTTAATGCTGCTTAGTGATATGGTGATGATTTATCAGGCTATTTAAAAATTCAAACTTCCAGTCTTGGTATTAAATAAAGCATAATTTCACAAAATACCGTGGAACTGTCCTTCATTGTTCTTGATTTAAGTTTATCCCTCATTTAATGTTCTAACTCATTGATCCAGAGTTAATAACTTAGTGTTATATGACCCAAATATAAGACTTCTCAATTTTGTTTTCAGACCCAGTGGTCCAAGAAGAAACCTTGAATAGGAGTTCTGCTGTATAAAGATGGGGTGTCCTTCACACACTGATTAATATTCATTGTACATTACTTCCTTTTATGTTATTAGGTGCTGAGGACAAGAACACTGCCCAACATTCCGCCTCCTTACAAGGAGCTTCTGTACTTGCTTAGGAATTCTCCTCCTATTGTCACCAGAGATCCCGAGACTTTCCTTGATGTGGCTCGCTCCGTTCTTCGTGTAGACCTGAACATTCTTTCAAAGAGAAGTAAGTTTTTGGCATGAGTGCAGGTTTGTAGTCCATTTATCTCTTCAGGTTCATTAAATTATTTTATGAGTTGAAATATCTTGTATGTTACTCCAAATATCCCAAGTAATACCACAAATCAGTTCTTAATTTATTATGTTTAATTTGTTAGATGAGGAGGAAGACATTCGTCTGTTGGTGAAGACACTTCCTTCAAAGCACACACCTGCTTTGCCAATGCAGGAGGAGGTGTCCACTACTGTGGTATATGACTTGCTGAATTGTCTGATTCGACCGACGCCTCATGAGGATGCAACTGAAGCAGCATCCTCTGTTGTTTCAAATATTGTGTTAGCAGTACCCTCAGGAGAGGCAGGGAATGACACACCTGGTAGAACAAGTAAGTTCCTGTAGGTTGTTTAAGGTGGGTATAGAGAAGAAGTGACTCTACTTATAACAAAACATAACATAACATATATGGTGGAATAAAGTCTCCTTGAGAAAGTGTTGTCTTTAGTCGACATGCTACATATGGAATTTATTGAATTTGTTTCCTTCTTGAAGTCATTGCATCTATTTGGCTTCAGCAGTCTCGTTCTGTTTACCATTCCTGTCACTTATCTCAGTTCCAGTGTCTTAACAATTCTAATCTTATGTCTCACATTCACTGCATACATTCCTGACTTCCACCTCATCCTTCGTTCCATCTACATTATCAGATATACAGTACACTGCTTATTGTCCCTGTGGTATCTGAACACAGACCAGGAGTCGTTCAGAACACAGTTGTTTCAAATGATCACTGAAAGGCATGTCAGTAATGTAGATTATGGAGTTGTCTCTCATAGTATGACCATAAGGTGAGTATTCATTGCATGAATCACATATCTGTCATCCAGTGTTAAATAAACTTAAGTCTGTATGATTCCAACCTCTTACAGTGTTGCTGTTTACAGAACTGCAACTGTACACTGTTTCCTGCTGGAAAACAGTTTTATTTGAGAATCTCTTCCCCTTACATAAGCCTCATATAGAATGTAAGTGAAATTAAGGCATGTTTCTAGCTTAGAACTTACTTTGTTTTTAGAATTATTGATCTTTTCTCTAAAACGTTAATTATGCTATCCACAGATTTAGTATGTTCTCTGCCAGGGACTCCTGATATTTGTTTAAACAGTCTTGGCATATTGAATTATTGCTGTGAACATGTGCTTTTCTGTCTGTGCTGCTGAAGGCAGTAAGAAAGAAAAAACAAATGGAGGTCAGACATTCCAGTTAACACAATAGCAACCAAATGAAATTCAGTAGTATGTGCGCACTGGGAACTGTAAAGACAGAAATTTTGTGTTCAACACCATGTAACTAAAAAGAGGCATATTTTCAGCTGCGTCATGGTATTTGAATGTCGGTGTAGGTGGTTTTGCTATAATTTCTACAGGAATTAAGATTCCAGTCCTTTGGGATGTGATGCCATACTATCTGTTATGTGGGCACCAACATTTAGGAGGAACCTGCTACCTCCATTTTCAGGACACTGTTGCTCCCATGAAGGTGGTGAATGCAGTTTTCTTAGAAGTGGTCTACCAAACAACATGGTATCACATAGCAGAAGGTCATAATCTTAATTGCAGTCACTGTGAAGGTCTCAGATCTCATGAAGCTGTAATATTATAAACCAACTTAAAAGGTAAGGTTGCCCCTGTGCTTAACTAATTAAGCACTATACCAGGAAGGTGTATGGGGGAGTGGATGCATAGATCAAAATTTTCTTAACCTCATCACTAGCTGGAGGTGAGTGGTCAGCTTCACGCTCCTCCAGGTACCCATTGGAAAGAAGGCTGGGTGGGCCCCAGAGCTGGTCTGAATGATATGGAGAAGAGAAAATTCTTGACCCTATTGGGACTTGAACTCGGACCCCTCCGTCATTCAGATTGTAGCCAGTTGCTATCCTGGCTCCAAGCTTATGGCCACCAAAGTTAGCCAGATACTCGGAACTGATATTTATCATTCATGCTCTTCATACATCTTCCACCGAACTAACATATACAAACCAGATGATTGCAGACTTGTTTCCAGGCTTGGTTACTCCAAACTCTGCATCAGGTTCAGCATCAGGCCCAGGCATAACCATGGGTGATGGTTCCCTTCAACTTGTGGGGCATGCACAAAGGGCTTCAACTGCTGTGCAGCAAAGCTTACGTCAGGAACTGCTTCGCAGTTCTAGTTCTAGTGATCTTCTTCATCATGAGGTAGATGAGAGAGTGAGTATAATTGTAAGCTAGAGTATGAATTGTGAGCTGAAGTGACCATTACTCTGCAGCTAGGAACGAATTACAGTATTTCCCAGTTTGATTAATCCTCAGGCAATTATGCCCTCTGAATACAGCACCATAGTGTGCTTGCTGAAATCTTGTGGCAACCTACTGGTCCCTTGAAATGGGCTCCTAGGTGACAGTGTAACTGTAGTATAAGTATGACCTTTATGACAGCTGTGTTTTAGTAGCAGTAATCATTGGTACTGCTGATTTCTTTACATTAGAAAAAATTGATAAAATTCTCTATAAATTATGATAATGGTTTAAGTGTTGCAGAATCTAGGTTTGTGTATACAGACAGTTCACTTGTCATATTTCTGGGAGGTTTAAGGAAATACAGTTTTTATGGGTGGAGTTCAGGTGGAATGATGGATATTTGTATGTATATGCTCTGATAAGTGAGTGACAGTGAGACACTGGTATCTAAGTAAACATTGCACAGAGCAAATCATAGTTTTCTCTTCCTAGACCCTGCTAAAACCTAACACAGGTAGCTTCAGTCTTGTATAAAGAGAGCTGCTTTACAGAAGAACCTGTTTTGCCTCTCAAATACAATGTTTAAAGAGATTATGATGAAACTGGTATTTTGGAATACCATTTTACCTCACATGTTTAATGACATCTGATTATTATGAAGAACTAGTGTATGTTTGTGTGTATGAGCCACACTGTTTTGACAAAAATTACAGGTGAAACTGGAATCTGGCTTATAAATAGAATATTGTCACGTATCGCGGGGTATAACGCGACAAATAAGTTCACGATGTATTTTATNCTAAAACCTAACACAGGTAGCTTCAGTCTTGTATAAAGAGAGCTGCTTTACAGAAGAACCTGTTTTGCCTCTCAAATACAATGTTTAAAGAGATTATGATGAAACTGGTATTTTGGAATACCATTTTACCTCACATGTTTAATGACATCTGATTATTATGAAGAACTAGTGTATGTTTGTGTGTATGAGCCACACTGTTTTGACAAAAATTACAGGTGAAACTGGAATCTGGCTTATACATAGAATATTATATAGTCATTTTATTTAGAGAAATTATATTATCTGGACTAAAGGTATTTAGACTGTTAGTGTTTGAGGAAATGGAAAATATGAAAATTAAATTGTCAAGAATTGATGTATTGATACACTGCGCTTACTTATTCACCGGGGACACTTTCTCTATAAGATTGGTTTCATAAACATGAAAATAATTACTGAAGTAAAGAAGCATGCTGTTGGAAAGTTCCTAGACTAAAATGCTGGCTTAATTTTCACTGCCATCTCCTTAAAATTAGTCTCCTTGGGAACATATACAGTGATCCCATAATTTTTTCCACACTTCAATAATGCTGTCGAGTACCACTTGAGATTCTCTTTGTATGTCAGACACTGTTTCAAAATGTCCCTTCAGTTTCATTTTCAATTTGGGAAACAAAGCGAAATCACAAGGGGCTAAGTCCTGTGAGTAGGGAGGATGGGGAAGGATCACCATGTTGGGTTTAGTCAAACTCTGTGGTTTTCAGGGATGTGTGGGTGGGCATATTGTGATGAAGAAACCAGTTGTGATTGCACCAAAGTTCCATTTTTTTTTTCCACGCATTTTCTCTCAAGTGTCTCAAAACATAACAAAATTTGTAAAAGTCGGAGTTGACTGTAGTGATAGGAGGAACAAATTCATGGTGAACAATCCCCTTCGCATTGAAAGAAACAACGAGCATGCTCTTTGTTGAACTCTGAACCTGCCATATCTTTTTTGCTCTTGGTGTTTGTGGGCGCTCTCATTGCGACGAATGTAACTTTGTTTCTGGATCATAACCGTGAATCCAACTTTTGTCATCCATTATGATCCTAGAGATAGAAGTTGGCCCTTGTGAGCCTTCTTATGTAGCTCAGGACACACATTTACAATCTGCTGCTTGGCAGTGCGACCCATGTCTAAATTTTCTGTTAAGATTTCCTGGCAAAATCCATAACTGATCCCAACAGTGTTAGGAAACTCATGGATTGTTCGACGACGTTCTTTGTGGATGAGTTATCAAAAATTTTCAACATTTTCTGTTGTCCATGGTTTATGCTGACCGTCTTACAGTGTATACAGTGTGTGTCACACACACACGGATCCAGCAGTACAACGCATGCAGTAACAGGAGCAAAACACAACACAGAACACGATATTCAAATATATGTAGGAAGAATGCTCACATAAAAGAGGATTGGCGTAATTCGCGTGTTTGAGTGCGACGTAAGAAGAATCCTGAAAAGTTTTATTATTTAGAATTCATCATCTTATATGACGAATACAGATTTTAGTCATTTTAGAATGAAGACATTATGGCATGCAGTACAATGGTTTAACGTGCATAAAGACACCTGAAGATGGCACATTAGTGCTGAAACATATAGTGTGGAAGTGAAGAATAAGGTGAAAAAGTGTATACACTGTAAGACGGTCAGCATAAACCATGGACATGAATCAGTGTAACAGGATGCTAAAATATAACATTTTCTGTTGTTCTGCTGCTGCTTGCTCATCCTGAAGATTTATCATCTTCAACTGACACTTGACCAGACTTGAAATGTGAATGCCATTCAGAAACTGTATGGTTTAAAGAATATTCTCCAAAAGCCTCACGAAGCATTTCAAGGGTTTTGGTAGTGGATTTTTCAAACTTCATGGAAAACTTGTTGCAGACATGTTGCTCAATTTTGTCATCTATTGCAGACAAAACAAAACAGTCATAAAAGCACTCGTATAAAAACAGTGGGTGTTCACAGCGCAGTGTCATGTGGCAGATTGATGCTGTAGGCTTGCAGAAGCGTGACCTTGGCCTCCCCTCTAATCTTCTTTCACCGAGGCAGTACAACAATAACAGTTCAGGAACTTTCCAATACACCTTGTATGTTAGTTCATTATCAATCACATCCTTTTGGCAGCTTCCTTCACTGGACTGATGCCACAGGATACCATCCTCACTTCCATTCATTGTGTCAGATATATCACTAACTTACAGCCTTTCACTTTCATATCTTGCGAAAGAGATCACCAAGCTCCGTGATTCCACCAGCACATTTCTGTCAGTGTGGCCCTTTTAAGGCAACATATCTTCACTTTATAAATGTCAAGTGTGCTTCAAATATGTGATTGATTACAAGGACACACTTCTCTTACTGCAGTTGTGTCTTCACATATTGTGTTGTGTGGTTCCGGAAGCTCACTAAAATGAATATGGATTGTCGGCATAATAATGCATATACTCATTGAAACTGTACAGATGTAATCAAGTCTTCAGCTAGATCTGTAGTCATCCAACCACTTTTCTGGACCCAAACCACAATTCTCCGAGGGAACTTCTCCATTTCCAATATCTTCCTGTTTAAATACCACATAAAGATGAAACTTGTGTACATCAGCTGTGAAAGCCAGCATTACAATGCAGCGTTGTTTCTTGGCTCCTCTGTACTATTTGTTTGCTGTAAGAGATAACTGTTGTGGATTCCAGCCTTTAAAAAATACCTCAGTCTGTTCAGCATTCCCCGTTTGTCTCAAAAGGTATTCATACTGTTTTCTCAGTTTTAGTACTGGAAACTGACCATTTTTGCCCTGTATGTTTCTGGTAATCTCTGTGCTATCATTGTTCAGCACCTTACGGTGGGGTTGTATCCTACCATAAATTGCATCACCCATTCATAGCTGACTTTGAACTTGCTAACAGGTATATTGTGTTTCTTTGTTAATCTGTGGCCTTTGAATTGCAGCATTAATGGAGATGATTCAATCAGTTTTTCTTCTGATTCGTAATGTGAGAATATGATCCTGCACCCTCATGTGAATACTTGCTCCTCTTACCACAGAAGGAACATTTCTTTTTGGAAATTCCTTCTAATGTTTATTCTTCACCTAAACAGCATCTCACATTTGGTTAATCCACATCATATTAATTAGTGTTTGTATTTATATGGGTAACTGTCTTTTTATGGCAGTGTGTGCCCTTGTACTTGATGCCAGTAATGCCACCATCAGGTTTTAGTTATAGCTAAAAGTGCCGTATAAAGCTGTAGTTATTTCTTACAAAGAATTTTCAATAATCATTGTGCCATCACATGGTCAGAGCTGGCCTATACAGTTTCCATTATGTGAGTTTTCATATGTATGCAAGTCTTGTGTGTACTGCTGACAAAGCATGGTCAGATTTCTGAGAGACATGAAGTGTCACAAAGTATTGTTCTACCTTGGCGTTCAAGTCCTTTTAATTTTCCTGCCACATGAATTATTATTCAGGATCTGTATTTAGTGGCATGAATCACTGGTGCTCAAAGGCACCTATGTATTATGTGTATGTTGCCATATTTTGTTTTAATGAGAGTAACCAACACCATTGATTTCCAGAAGCTGGGAGAGTGGGACATGACTAACAAATTACCATAAATGCTACTAGCGACAACCAAAGTGTAGTGAATGCAGTCACAGATATTTTATTTTCATGCAGATAAAATCCAGTTCTGCTTATATACGAGATTTGGGTTATTCCACATTCTTAACTTCAAAATGTAGGTGCTGCCTATACATGCACAAATGTGGTAATTTAGAGAAAAAAAAACGGCACCAGTTACTATACTCTAATGCTTAATAATCTTATGAGGTTCTCATAGCAGTCACTATGAAGTGTGCTATCATCTGTGATGGTATAGCATGTAGTCTGATAGAAGTTTATTGATGTTTTGGAGGAACATAGCTCGTCCATATTGAGGATTGAAGAGTAAGCCATGCAAGCAGAGTAAACTGAGTGTGGAAAATACGTGGTGCACTCCAGAAGTTCCTGAAATATGTTTATAAATACTATTACATCTTACCTGGATCTTATTCTGCACCATCATCTTTAAAGTAGTCCCCTTGGGAGCGCATGCACCAATCCCAGCTTTCCTGCCACTTTTGAATTGCATCCTGGAAGTCTTTCTTTGTTACGGTGTTTAGTACTGTCTGCGTTTCTGCTTGAATTTCCTCAGCTATATCAAATCTTCACCCCTTCAACTTGATTTTCATCTTGGGGAAGAGAAAGAAGTCACATGGAGCTAAGTCTGGTGAGTATGGTGGGTGGGGAACAACTGCCATCTTGTTTTTAGCCAAAAATTTCTGCACAATGTAAGCCGTATGCGGTCGTTTGTTGTCATGGTGGAGTACCCAGTGATTTGTACGCCACTTCTCTGGACGTTTTCTCCTCGTGTCCTCCCTCAAATGTCTTAGCTATGGTGAAGAAGGGCTTTTATGTTGTGACGACTGCTGCTTACTTTCAGGGTCGTAGCCATAAACCCAACTTTCGTCACCAGTGACAACCTTCGAAAGAAAGTTTGCTTCCTCTTGAAGCTGTTATTAAAGTTCCCTGCAGACTTCCAAGCAATGCTGCTTCTGTTCATTTTGCAGCAGTCGTGGCACAAACTTCACTGCAATCCTCCTCATGTTTAAATCCTCTGACAAAATTCGTTGACATGTACCATAACTTAGTCCCAAGGTGTTACAGAGGTCTTGGATGGTCAGTTTACGATCTTGCAGAATCAGATCCCTAACTTTCGCGATATTTTCTGGTGTGGTACCAGTTGACTGCCGTCCCAAATGATTGTCATCATCGTTCAATGTTTGGCCATTTTTAAAACGCTTATACCAGTTGTAAGTTTGTGTCTGGCCTAAACTATTTTCACCAGAAGCTTGTTTCAGCATTTGGTGCGTTTCTGCAGCCGTTTTCCCAAGTTTAAAACAAAACTTTATACAGATGCTCTGCTCTCTCAGGTCAGCCATCGCAAAACTGCAAACTCACAGAAACACAACAATGGAAATACGTTCATCAACAATAAACCCAACCACTCAACTCGATGCAGCTTGCCACACTGATTCAAGAAGTGTGTGTGGGGAGACACCTAGCGGTATTTTGATGTACTCATAACCATTCACGCTGAAAATTCAAATTTCGGGAACTTTTGAATTGCACCATGTAGTAGTATGAATATAGACTGTAGACGACCCCTGGTCAAATCAGTAGGAGCAATATGAGTGAACAAGTAGTGGCCTTCAGGGTCAGTTTTTAATCCCAAGAGAGAAATGAAAGAATGAAGCATAATAGTCCAGTGGGGGCTGTACATAGGCAAGAAACCAGTGAAGATCTGCTTGCTGCCTGCTTCTTGCTAGTTTCTTGCATGACTTTTTCTTTTACACTGAAGTTCAAGGCAATGTCCTCTGAAACGTTCTTGGACTTCAGTGGACTACATAGTGTAACATTCCAGAAGACAGTACTCCTCATTATCACCACTCTGGGAGCTTCAAATCTAGCAAAGTAGGAACCGATTATACTTCTAATATGATAATAAATGTTGAGCTTTGGACATGGCGTGGCAGTACAGTGGTACTGATAATATGTTAGATTGTCAATATGTGGTATATTGACTACTTTGTTGTGATTTGTTGCATTGGATATTTCTCACTCTCAGCCTTTCTGCTGCTGGCATATGCCCAAGGTTGCCATATTTAGTAGTATGCCAGCAGACTTCTAGGCTCTTGGTTCTAAAAGAAGATATATTTTTAATTCCAGACACAGGAATTGGACATTAAGAAAGTAAAGGAAGATCTGGCAACATATGCAAAAATAAATGAGGAAGAGAAGAAAAGACCTTTACTTCCGAAGAGTGCAATACTTAAGATCCTTGCAGAAGCTGTACGATCATACTCAGGCTGTGCAAAACTGATAACTGATCACTCATACACTGCAGGTCAGAGTGAGATGGTAACAGAGGTAAGACACAAGTTAAATGTTCAAGATGAAATGAATTACTTCAAACTCATACATTTATTTTGAGTTCAATAAGAATTTACGTTATTGCAGTCAGGTTCAAGATAGATAATGGATTTCATAAAGAGTTAGTGTTAGTACTTATTAGAAGTTACTGTTTAAGTTGCTTTGTGATCTGTGTCAGACAGTTTGGATTTTTCACTGCTGTAGAGACCAAAGTAATGAAGAAATTATGTTTTTTATATAAATTCGGCCTGTAGCTCTGTAAACAATTAAATTCCCTGCACCAGTGGCTTTGGTATGATATTAAAAGGAAGTAATAACTTCCATAGTTTTCTGAATGAAAATATGAAATTTGAACACAGAAGTATTAGCTTTTCTGGAGCCTTTTGTAAAAGGTATTGTACTTATGGTTGGTTGTTATGGGATGGTGTGGTTATAAATCTTGAGGCTGGTAGAGCAGGATAAAAATTCACAAATAAAGTAACTTATCCACTGTAAACAGGGGTTTTCAACATGAACCAAATTCACTTGGCAAAACCATTTCATGTTGAATTTCTTTTTGAATATTAAATTCCACTACACTCCCCTAAATGGAGCCCTACAACACACTTCCATCAATAAGTAAAAAAAAAAAGTAAAGCTGTCCCCGTAACAGGCCATGAAGGCCCATAGGGTTGTGAGATGTTGAGGGTCCCACATTATCTAGACAGTCAGCTCAGAGATGGCGGTAAGGTTGTCAGCCTTACGCGCCGGCCACGCTTTATTCCCCAGGAAAATTAATTAATTCCTGGTACTCATTTCTGTTAGAGGCTGAGTTGACCCCAGCTTGTAGTGTAGTACCTCAACCAACTACACTACTGCGTTCCACTTCCATCAGTATACAGTGATAAACTTCTTTGCAGCTTTTCACTTTGGTGCCTTCCACCATACTCACAGACTTTGCAGATATGCTGAGATTCTTGACTTCTGCCTATATTGTGAGAATTCTGTATGGAAAATTATCTCTTCAATAAGTCTGCCTGCAGAAGGACTTGGTCTTTTCCTAAATTTCTTGCTCTGCATCAATAAGTAGGCCTTCACCTGCCATCTCACATAACATCTCTAGTGGAATGTTTTCTGTCCTTTTTATTTTGCAGTGTATGGGCTTTTATATTGTCATGTGCAGGGGTGACTATTTGATGGAGTATGGACTGGCTGATTGGATTTATTGACACCGTATACATTCCACTTGGATCTACAGAGAATTACAGTGCTATTGCTGATCTAACCACTTTACAATTCACTGTTACATCCACTAGTGTCCTCAGTCTGTTACAGTCTCACTAGCAATTTCCTGGCAGTTGATTTTAACCCAGGAACTACGATGGGGAACCCAAAAGAAACTGAACTAATTTTTTTGTGGGCAGAGCTTTTGTAGCACTGCGTTTTGACGCTATGAGCTCATAGAACTAACATTCCTGAGTCGATAAGCCAACTACCGTTGCTGCAGAAGGTAAGGACTAGTTTCGGCAGGGTTTATAGTGACAACTATTTTGTGTGATCGTCGTTTTTGCAATGCCTGATTTTCGTGAACAGCGTGCGACGGTGAAATTCTGCTTTTTGCTCGGGAAAAGTGGAACAGAAACTCTTGAAATGTTAAAAACGGCGTACAAGGACGATGCTATGGGGAAAACTCAAGTGTTTGAGTGGTTTTCCCATTTCAAAAATGGTGAAATGTCACTTGAC